ATTTTCCTAGGTACTAAATCAGAGGTGCTGGATGTGGATAACCCAGACTTGGAGAAATATCCCCTTTTTGTGAAAGCCAAACGCTATCAATGTTTTTTGGAAGCAGGAGATGTGTTATTTATTCCAGGTAAGTAATAAATAGTTCCTGACCACAGCATGGTATTAAACAGTCTTGTTTCTAATTTATGGTTTCTGGAGATGGTAAGAGGTTACTAAAGCATTTCTGTGTTATAAGTAGGAGCATTGAGAGATGTTGGCAAAAATTATTTCCTTTTTCCAACTGTACAATTAACCTGAAAAAAGATATTACTATATCTACCTACAAATCTTACTTTCCCTCAAGTTTACAGTGTGTGCTTCTGAATTTGTGTCTTAATAGATTAGTAGTATAAAGTTACCTTCTGAAATCTGAAATTACTTGAGTGACCTGAGTTTTWTAATGACAGAATTTGAGTGAAGTACCATTTCTGTTCTTCTGTAGCTCTGGCACTTAAGTACTGTCAGGCATGTGGTCTGATGAGAATTATGGATGGCAGAGTTACTGGACGTTCTAGAGATTTATAATCATCTTTGGGGAAGGGAAAGAAAAGTCCCAGTCATTTTTCTGCACAAACAGAGAGCTGCTTCCTGGGCTGAGATGATATATTCTGGTAGTCAGGGTARGGTATTTGAATTACTCCTATTCAGTAAGAACTACTCCTACTTGTTACTGATTTTGTGTAAATTATCATGAGCTTGCAGCAGATATGWCTTATCCTGTCACTTTTACATTAYCTGGGCAATATAAACAGGTCAGTWAACAAGAAGGTAATAGGTTTTTAGAAAGTTATTTTTAAATGGTTTCTTAATTTTGAATTTACCATTTATGTTTCTTCCTGAATGAACTTTTGATTACAGTTAGGTAGTGGTATGTCACACTGTTGCTGATGTCAGCATCCCTGTTTTCTGTTTCTGAAGTTTCTGAAGTCCAGATAGTTGTCTTTGCCAGTGGGTGAGCAGTCAAACTTGAGACACACTCRGCTCTCAAGACTGACTGGGGAGTGTAGAGATTTTTGAGTCCAGAGAATGGTGCTAGCTTTGTCAGCATCCTGCAGTGCTTATCACTGAAAAAAAAAATGTTTTTTTGAGGAATGCGTGTGGTTATTATGAAGAAGGTCAAAGCAGCCCCTCTTCCCAACCTGAAACAAACTTCATGTTAATTCTCAGAATAAATGTGTCTATGTCTTCAGCACCTACAGACAAATAAAATGCAATAAACACAGCATTCAGTCTTTTAGCTTAAAATCCAAATAGCCTAAATGTGCAATATTGAACTTACTCTTTAAATGTGCTCAATGARGCAAAGATGTCTTGGCTTCCCTATCACAGTCATGATGATTCAACTGAAAAGCCTCATGCCTTCCTTATGAGAAGATTAGCAATTTGTGTGAGTGACCTGGCTGATGCTGATGGTTTACATTAATGCTGGACAATGTGTGCAAGGTTAGGGACTATGTGAAAATAGGTACCCATATTTAGAGCTGAGAGGAGCAAGGGAAGGTGTCCATCTTTCATCCTACACATGCTTATCCTTTGCTTACATTTGAGTACCTCTACACTTCAGCAGTTGTCACTTTCATAAGAAGTTATGGATCTGAATAAACATCTTGAAAAACTTCTYAAATTTGGTACAATGCAATCTATTCATATGAATATTTATAAATAAAAATACAGTAGTTGAGGCTTTTCCTCAATTAGCTTTAGTTTGGGTGATTCTGACACTTGCTTTGAGTCCGTCCTGGATAGTAATTTTTATTTTAGACACTGTTCTTTCTACAGCTTTGTGGTTCCATAATGTAATTTCTGAGGAATTTGGCGTGGCAATGAATGTCTTTTGGAAGCACCTTCCTGCTGAGTCCTATGATAAGACTGACACTTATGGAAATAAAGATCCCATGGCAGCCTCTAGAGCTATACAGATCTTGGACAGGGCCTTGAAAACACTTGAAGAACTACCTGAGGAATAYAGGGATTTTTATGCTCGGAGAATGGTGTTACGCATCCAAGAAAAAGCCTATAGGAATGACGATGGATGAAAYAACACATTATAATTCAGCAAGCTCCCTTACAAATAGAAAATAGTATGTTAGTATGGAAACTGTTCGTGTGTACGTACATGCTCACTTTCTGTAAGACCAATAAAAACTGTCAATAAACATTCAATTATAACAAAGCTGACCTTGTAGATTTTCTTTCTAGTTTTTCATATGCTGTGAGGACGCAGCCTGCTTGATCTGGAGATGGTCTCTTTTCTACAATGAGACATAGATTTGCAGTGCCTCCACTTCTAACTACTTTTTTAGAATGTTCTACTTAAATTTTTCTGAACATCAGATTTGATATGTGGGCTGACAGCATGTRTGCTTAGAAATAACTGCATGTCTTCATGCTTCCTTAGAATTTAGGAAAGCCACAGTGGTTTCTGAGGAGTCCAAGGAAGCCATTGGTGGTAGCTGTAATGGTCATGGTTTCTTTTTAAGTAATAACCTGGCAATAAGTGTAGGGAGTTTGTTCTCCCTCTTGTAGTGAGACGAGGTGAGTATGGAAAAAAAATCTAATCACGTCAGGTTACATTTAGATTGGTGCAGCACTTGACTGCAGCATAAATGATTTACCCTTTTCCTAGGTGAATAATGTGTTGCTGGGGGGGAAATCTTTTTTGTCACTGCCCCAGTGCAGTCAGACAGCATTGCTGGTTCTGCAGCTGTGAAATACTTGCAACTAATGTGCCCACAAATCCATTCAGATAGARCTAGAATCTGCAATGGAGTTCATAGTTCTGGAGTAGACACAGAATCTATTGGGAGCTGTATTTGACGTGCTCTTTGTTACTATATGAAAGGGGGTTTGCATTGCACCTTTTGGGATGGAGGCTGTTGTTCAGGCACTGTAGATTACTTTTCTGCAGACTGAGGGGCTTACAAAAGCCCTGTGAAATAAAGGTGGGGATCTTACAAAAAGGATAGGCTTGATATTGTTTCTTTGAAATCCCTCTAATGTTATTACTTGTGCCGTTTGGGGAATTCAGCATTTATCTGACTTAGGTCAGTCTATTACTTCTAGCAATGTTTTTTGAGAACTGTAACTTGTCAAAAGCTCTTAGACTAAATAAATGTGTATTGTAAAGAAATGTTGGGAAAAAAGCTTTCTCCAGAAGAGTAGGAGCKTGAACACTGCAGATTATTCTTCTAAACCTGTTCTTGGCAGTTCAATACAGTGAAAAAAGTCTGGTGCCATGTGAATGGGCACCCAGCCACCTCAATGAATGAGAATGAATGGAACTAGCCAAGCGACTCTGACAAGCATCATTGTACGTTCTGAGGGCAGAATTTAAATTTGGGATCACAAACAGGTCTCCCAAAATTTTTGTTCAAAAAGGAACAAGGATTGCTTGTGCATATTGCTGAGACAGAATCTCTTTGCCTATTAGGGGTAACCTCTTGGCTTTGTTGCATTGGTAATGTCAATGGCCCTGTTTGAATTGCAGAGGTGAACAGAGCATATTCTTTGTGTGTTAGGACTAAATGGAGAGGGTTAGAGAGCCTGCAGGGCTCAACAAAGCTGTGTTCCAGCACTGTGCCTGCACAGCCATCACTTTAAACTATAACTGCCAGCAGCTTCTCAATTTACTGATACAGAGAAGTACTGTGCTGATGCCTCCTTCTGCATTCCTTGGGTCCCATTCACAAAAGGAAGGTGTTAATTTGGTGTTCTCAGGCCCCCTCAACACTCAAGTGTAAATTTGATCTTCATGCTGCCACCTTTGAAATGAAGCCTTTATTTCACTTTGAAAGAGTTTATTCTACTTCTTATTTAGTAACTTCTCTAAAACAGTTGTTCTGAAATGCTATAAAAGAARAATACAAGCATTTTAAAAATGTATTTTCTTAATTTGAGCATAATCTGACTAGTGATAAAATCTGGAAGTTATTGTGTTAAAAAAAATTAAATCACTTGGTGCTTTGTAACCACTGTGCTACGTGGTGTGAAACAGATAATAAAGTGATAAATGAATGATGAAAGTATTAAAGGAATAACTTTCAGATAACATAAGGAGAGATTACAAGTTGGCACACTTAGAAATCCATTACTGAAATAACATAGAGTTAGAGCCCCTGGCATTTTGTGGATGTTTGTCCTTTAGAGACCTAAACCAAAATGGGATCCTGCCATAATRAAACAGATGAAGTTATATTAATAGGTATTGGAAAAATAAACACTGACCATCTGAAGCATTCAAAGCAGCTACTTCAAACAGTGTATTCATAGTAGTTGGAAGATGCAGACTGCCCAGGACTGAAAGATGAGTTGACAGTTAAAGACAGTTAAAGTTTAAACATGGCCTACCCCAAACCTTGAATGACTCTAAAAGTGACTGAGGCATTTAAAATRGAAGTTCATTGCAAGTCAACACCTGGAAAGAATTGTTTATTCTTAGCCATATGAAATAGAAAGAATGACAAATTATTTCAGATTTCATTTTTTCTTAATCTAATGAAAAAAATTGATGTCAAAGTATTTTTCTTGTCAAACAAACTTATAATTAAAAATCTCCTGTCATGTATGTAGGCAGTACCTTGAAGTACTTAGGCTCATTTCCCTCCAGCAGCTGCACAGGGTGTAGGTTCTTAATATTAGTGCCTAACAAAAAAAGGTTTGGCTTGCTCACAAAGGATCAGAAGTATATTTGTAATTATTTTTAAATATTCAGGATGAAACTATTTGTCTCATTTACACTGTTGATCTCACAAGACAACCAACTTGACTAAGATGAAGATGATTTTACCATAAAAATGAGGTGGCATTACATATGATGTGTTCCTAATACATTACTACAACTTCTGAGAAATTCTTTTTTCCTCTGACCAAAATGTATCTTCCCAAACTTGGTATCATCATATAAATTATAAAGGTGTTGAAGATAACATTCTGARACAGTAACTTTTATAAGGGGTTCTCTAAGTTGGTATCACTCAATAACCAAAGATTCTGGTGTTTTTTGAAGGACAGATGAAATTTTACCTTTTCTTAGACAGTTACCCAAGTTTGCAGTAAAGTTGCACTTTAAGATTTCCTGTTTTACTTTGGGTCAGACTGTACAGTGGGGATGGATTCTGAGCTCTGTATGTGACAATGTYTGGGAGCAACAATCTCTCTTAAGTGGCAATTCCCAAGAGCAACAAGGGCAGATGACTTYCTTTCCAAATGTTCAGGTCTGTTCCGGTGGCAGATTGAAGCCATTAAAAGAACTGCTCAACCATGTCAAACATGCAGTTCCACGTGCGSTGCCACGGTCACACAGAAATGCTCAGAAGCTGTTGCTTGCAATAATAACACAGATCATAGTAATGGACAATTTTTGCTGTGAAAATGTTGATTCTTCAGCTGCCAAGCAGGACGTGAATTGCTTTAAACTTCCACTGCAAAACCGTAATGTATTTCTCATGATGGGGAATGGCAAAGAAGAGCTAAGCACATGGTCTGTAAGGAATGCAACAGCTTTGACCTGACACTCAGGCTTGGAAATACTGCTCAGAGGGTAAGCTCTGGTATGGCAGATGAGAAGAGCCTTCTTCTGCCCCTTCAGCACTGATCTGTCTCCTGACTGGTTTTTGTGTCTTCAGCAGTGCTTTCTTTAGAACCAACTCTCCCTGAAGTGCCAGTGTTTACAAAAGAAACCAGCAATCATGACTGAAAGTGATCTCTTGAGAGTCTACTAAAAGAAAAAAAATTATTCTGAACCTTGATGTAACAGCATCTGTTCCTTTCCAAGTAGGTTTTTATACACATGAATTACAAACAGATAATAATTTATTTTTCCCTTTTTTATTACCAGTTGCTTTTGTGGTCATTTGCTTAAGTAGAATTTGACACTCCTTGGGTCACTTAGAAACATGCCATYAAGCCCTAATGACAGGAAACAACGACAAAGCCATCACTACCTTATAACCCACACCACACTATATGTGAAATGACTGCCTGAATCGGTCTTCCATGGTTTCCACAGTGATGCAGAACAGCTAATCCAGTGCAAATGGGTTTTTTTGTCAGCAGGAGGAGTGAATTATGCTATTAATACCAATAGAACAAAGTTAGTTAGACACAGTATGTCTGGCACTGGAAGAAGCAGTGCCTGTCTGCCACACAGGTGTTATAYGATCTTGCTTAATGACTTCATGTTACTTTATTCAAATTAAAAACSGTCACCCTGCATCTGAACAGAGTTAAGAGATCAAGACCAAGAGAAAGCCAGCTTTGGTCTTAGGTTCTCCATCTGCAATATTCAAATGTATCTAAATTCTCATCAGGTTATAATCATTAGAAGTAAACTTTTAAAATTTAATCTATCATTCTTACAAAAATGAAATGATATTTCAATATAAGATTTAAAAGTACTGTGAAGTAACTTTGAAGGTGCTTTAAAGAGGTTGTTACAGATTGCAGTCTTGCAAAATCTGCCTTTGCTTTTCTATTGCACAAGGGCACCASACACATATTTGTGTTCGTGGATTCTGCTAGGCTGCAGTGCACCTGAAAGTGTAACTCAGAGCACACACATCCCAAAATTTTCATTGTCCTTTAAATTCTTTCTTGTACTAACGTATAAGACCCCATGTAATTTAAAATAAGCATTTTAGGTAAATGAATGGATACATAATTAACCTCAGTGCTTCAACTTTGAGTCTGTAGAAGACACCAAATATTGTTTATCTGTAGAGATGAAGTAATTGTTACAGCTCTAAAAGAACCTCTGGGGAAAAGATGAGTGCATGTTCATGCACAATCATTTTTATCTGTGTGCATCCACAGCTGTAACAGTCTTAATTCCTGAACTGACTTAGCAGTCTTATTTAAAGTAATTTCTATGACTCTTTAAATACCTTGCACTCCTGTTACTTACCTCTATCAGCAATGATATTTCTTTAGAAAGACAGAATAGCTTAMCATAAAGTGCTTGTGCAGGGAGGCAGCAGGATTTTATCAATGAAAGGACAGAAAATTGCTCCTTTCAGCCACATGTTAAGGACTGGACCCTTAATCATCTTCCACAGTTAGGGGCCAATACTGATTAATGCATCAGCATTTGCAGAGACTGATTAAATCAGTCCCAGATAGGAAGAAGTTTACCAAACTTTCTAGCATTTTAGWTTCACACAAAATAAAACCATTTAAGGCATCTGGACAATTTCACAGAATCAAGCCTTGCTTTAAATGAATTTAGCAGCCACAGTTTAAAATGTATTAGTATGTCTCAAAATCTGAAGAATGTCTTGTCTATTGTACAAGAAACAAGCTATTGTACAAGAAACAATATAAGGAACACCAGTTATTACTAGGTTGTAGAAAGGACTATGTAATGTTTGTCACTCCATTAAAAACCAAAAGTGTCTTGAACTACATCACTCTACGCAGGAGAGCCACCTAACTTTAGGCATTTACATCTAAGCTAATTAAAAACTGCCTTTACAGTTAAYGTTGAAAATCAGGCATATACCTATGACCTATTTCATTCTAAGATAGAAATACTTTCCCGTGTTTGTGAGATGCCAGTAAGCTGTTTTAGAATTATGAGTGCTGACTACACAAATACAAAGCCTCCTTGAAGAATAATTATCAAATAAATCTGATTTTTTAAACTAGGTCACCACAAATACCTGATAAAGCTTAATCCACAAAACTGCACATTCCTTGCTCAATGGTTTTACATTCACATCCAAATGGCTTCACCCATAAGAAATAGTTTATTTTCTACATCGTTTGCAAAATTTATTTTTAGCATTCATTGTAATGAATGACAGAGGCACATTCCAACAGAGTACCACAGCTGTTTAAAGAATGAAAAACAACCAGTCAGTTTTCCCTTCACAACATGACGTCTCATAACAGGATTAATTCTACAAAGAAGTGCCTATTCTTCAAAGTAATGCAGCAACACTTGAGCCTATTTAACAGTTATTGTAGGCAGCCTCCATCAAACAGGTTAGTATTATTTTTATAGGACAGCCATCCAGAAACTTTTGAAGACAATGTCAATATTTTAATAGCTGTTTCCAAAGGTTTGCAACAATGTGGTAGCGTTGTTCTGGCAGGCACAGAATTGTTTAGAAATTGGTCTCTGATCTGCAGTGTTATTGGAATAGGGCGAGTGTTAGCACACCCAACTTAGCCTGGTCAGTCTGAAACTGAGGGGGAAARATCAGTAAAATGTTCTGGGGTTTTTGTTGGTTAATTTTTTWAAATTTTATTTTATAAGTAGACAGTTAAATGTATTTCAAGCCACTCACAGGCTTTCGATTAAAACACTTCTTTAGGTGACCCATATTTCCTTTACAGAAAAAGGTCCTCGCATATGCTGCAAGAGTTATCAAAAGGACCAAAAAGAGGGGAAAATGTTCCTTGAAACACTTAATTAAAAACTTGTAATAAGCCTACTAAGATGGTAATCAACAGAGTTGAACAAAATCTGCAAGAAACAGTCTAAAATAAAWACACAAATGCAACTAAATTTCAGATTCTTTTATCAAGTCTTAGAGTTTGCATGTAATACTTTTCTCCATCAATTAAAATACATTATTTCTTTTGATAAACTAGGTACATTAATCTTATTTGTGATAGAGTTCTCTTTCAAACTGTAGGGTGCACACTGTATGCATAATCCTTTCTACCACTCTTACTTAATATGAGTGTTAAGAAAATTTTCTTAGGCGTTCCACACACTTTCCCCATTGTTCAGTGATCACTGATGTGCACAATCTCTGCCAAAAGTTGTCTACAGGGAACCTTGTATGTTTKAACGATGCCAACAGAAGAAAGATGACCCAGAAATTCCCTTCTACAATGTAAGAGTCACAGGAAACAAGGAGCAGGGCAGAGATGTTGTTAAGCCATCAAACATAGGAAATCCAAARCCATTTGGAGCTATTGGTTCATTGTTAACAGCTGCAGTTGTCTTTAAGAATGATTCCAAGCTTTGTACATAAATGGAAAGTTACTTACAACAGTAGAAGAGTTCAGTTAATATCATCATTGTCCATCTTTCAGTATTTCTTACTTAAGAACACTCAGGTTTGGGGTCTGAGCCAGATTACATCTTTTGTATTGGATCTGGCTGGCTTACCATTTAATTATAGGTTGTTTTTTTTCTGTAGGAAAAATAAGGCTCCAAAAATAAGATTTTTGGATGGCACTAGAAGCAACTACTGCAATACATTTAAAGGCGATAATAGATTTTAAAACAGGCATTTTGGAAGAGCTACAGTCAACAGAGTCCAAATTTTTTTTAATGCAACTTGCAATACATTAGGTGCCTAAAGCTCAATTTAGGGCAACATCAATGCAGCAATTACCATGAAAAACCTTAACGCCCCAAGGTAGGGACATCACCTCTTGACCAGAGGTACTACTCCTGGTCCTTAAAGAAGTTAGTCAAAGCAACAGCAATGTATGTTGAAACAGGAATAAGCCACACCAYAATCAACATTCTTGTTACTTAACATAACTACATCAAATTTTTCAAGCCCCCAAGGTGAAATGGCTATTCACTAGCAGATACTACACAATTCATTAATGMAACTTTATAGTGACAGAAATGGCAAGGCGCACATCAGGAAGAGAAATACATTGGCACTATTATCCCAAAGGTGAGTATTTGTGACTTTGTTTCAGTTAGGAGAAATGTTACAAAACTGGAAGATTTAATTACCTAATAAAACAGGTCTCAGCAAAATATATAACTAAGATTCTTCTTACAATCAATTTATGTAAGCCAAAAAGCTAACCTTACATCTGTTATTGACAAAAGACCAATGCTTTTAGCCCTGGAAGCTACTAAACTGAAGTATCCACACATCTGAAATTCTCAAGTAAAGTCCCATTAAATACTGTATATGGTATTAGACATCCAGGACTAAAAATTCTGCCAATGGTTTAAGAATAAAAGTTCACATTTAAAAAAAAAACAAACATGTATAGGATTGTTCTTCATAACACTTCTTATCCAGAAATCAAACAACATCTGTTATAGTTATGGGGTCCCAATATGCCTTTTTCAAGCTACAGAAATTTATATATAGTATCTATTAGCAACACAGAACTGATTTAGCATTCTGTTTAGAAAGCATCTGCTCAAAGCTGAAAATCTAGATGACAACATTAACAGTGTTAAAAGTGCTTCTCCAAAGAATATACTGTTCATATACATACAGTCTCAAAATACTTCATGAACTCTGAAATGGTTGTCTAAGGAGGGAACTTCATCAGCAAAATGCAGTTGATCATTTATTTCCACACCAAATTCGTCAAGTATCTGTACAAATTTCTTATGCTCTCTCCCAATCCATGACCTCATTGAGTCAAACACTTGGTACGGTGTAACGTGAGCGTGAACTTCAATTCCTGTCTCTGCAAGTTCTTTCAGTATTTCAGGGCAGGTAACCCAAGTATTGCTTCCTCCCGAGTGACCACCATCCAGCCAGTAAAYTGCTTTTATGTTTTTTAAGAAGGCATCTATATTCTTGTCTTTTTTAGCTTCCTTCARCTCATAAAGCAGCTGGTTCAAAACCACACAGCCTTTACTGAAGCCAATCAAAGTAAATGATGATGCACCTACYGCAGATGGTACCATGAAGTTCACAGCAGAATTATTAGAGCATTCACAATCTCTCTCCCTTTCTCTGGATGAACAGCCATTTGCTGTAGGAACAGACTGCAGCTGTGATTTACAAGCAGMTATCTTTGCATCCTTGCTGACACCATGCACACTTTTCTGGGACAGCAGAATATTCTGAGAGAGTCTGAATGCATTAACCAGCAAAGCATGGAGRTGCTTGAAAGCTCCAAAGTCAGTGCTGTGCTCTGGTGCTCCAAACATGTTACTTGTCACAAAGTTGTCATAACAACTGAATTTGTGCAGGTGCATTCGAGAACACTTTATGACCCAAATAAAGCTATTGGGGAACCGGTGAGCAAGTATGGTAGCAACATTTTCAAAACTCCAGTGTTCCCACTGAAAGTTTTCTGGGTGGCAAGACATGACATCATGATAGTTCTGAAAAATAATTTAAAAAAAAATAGAAAAGATGCTTTACTTCATTGTGAAAAGATTCAGCTCCAATGTACTCACAGTCATAAGAAAGGACTGTAAGAGAAAAGCATGCATTAGAGCAAAACAATTGCTGGGTTTGCAGAGCAAGGAACAAGGAACACATTAAACTGGTATATTTCAATTTGYTTACTTGACTTTATATTTTACCACGTATTTTTAATACCCCCAGGATCAATACAATGAATTCWGCATATGAAAATATGCATAGTTTTTGTTTACTTCACACCAAAAGAAAATTAAAGTATTATTCATCTTAGTATGACACAGAAGATGTAATTTTACTTTCTTATCTCCATCTACAGAAATAGTGATTATCTTACTACAAATYCAAAATAGACTTAAAACTTTGTAGCAAGTTTTCTGGATCTTATATAGAAAAAAAGAACCCTCTCATTCAGCTGTAGGATTTTTTTTTTTATTGCCTTATTCACACCCATTAAAGGCACAGATAGAAAGAAATTAATCCCCAAGTCATGAATGAACCTCATGTCTGAAATCTAAATGGCAAAGAATACTAGTTTGTTTCTTTTACGAAGGAATAATGAAGCCATATCAGCAATGCCAGTCAGACAGCTTTTCATAGRCCATCCCAATCCTTAAAATTCAAAYACACAAAATTCTGCATTTTTACCTGACAGATGGCCTTTTTCCTTGAAGAAGAAGGTAGCACCCCTGCTTTTGAGAAGCAGTAATGACAATTGAGATTAGCTGGCTACCAGAGCACATTATAAAAGAGAGGTTAACCACATACTCAGGGACAGCACTTCAGAGTCTCTCTGCAACTTCTTGTCAACTCAAGAACCACAAGTGCCTTCCACTGAGAAAGCGCCAGTGCCTGCCAAATTTCCACAGGACAAGCTACAGGGATGTCTGTACACCTGCACAGTGGCATGGTGCTCTGCCTGGGGAGGACAGCTCAGCATTTTAGGGTTTTGTTGTCTTGTCTCCACTGACACTCCCTGCCACGCTTTCAGACACTGTCACAAATGTCACCCTCAGGCAGTGCTACAGTGTACAGACAACTGAACTCTGAATGGTTCAGTTATGAATGGAGCTTCTGAAGGGACACAGGGGCACAAGTCCTGTGAGGAGCAGCTGAGGGAGTTGGGGTGTCCAGCCTAGACAAGAAGAGGTTCGGGGGGGTCGGCCCTTATTACTCTCTACAACTCCCAGAAAGGAGCTGTAGCTAATGGGGGTCGGTCTCATCTCCCGGGTGACCAGCAATACAAGAGAACATAGTAAAGGTTGTGCCAGGAGAGGTTTAGKTTGGACATTMGGAAGCGTTTATTCACAGAAAGGGTGATTAGATATTGCAATGGATGCTGGAGTCACCGACCCCGGAGGTGTTGAAGGGAAGACTACACATGGCACTCAGTGCCAGGGTCTAGTTGACATAGCGGTGTTGATAGGTTGGATTAAATGATCTCCAACCTAAGAGATTTTGTGATTCTGTGAAAATGACTCGACTGCTCTCCACTGCTGCAGCAGCTCAGGCTCCCGGAGGGCCCATTCCCGCTCGCTGTGCGGGACAGCGAGATGCTGCGCTGGCCGCGGCGACAGCCGGACAATGCCCACCCTCACAGCCCTTCCTCCAGCACCGCTTTCCCGCTCCCGCCCTGAGGCCGCTCCGCCGCCATCGCTGGCCGCCCGCMCCCGCGCCGTACCTGCACGTCCCCCGGGAAGTACACGACGTGGTGCTGCGGCGACGGGGCCGGGCCGTGCGGGGCGGGCGGCGGCAGCAGCAGCAGTTCGTTGGCGCGGTGCGGCTCCGCGCCCGGCACCTCGGGCAGCCGCAGCCAGGGCGGGCTGAGCCGCGCCGCGGGGAGCCCCGCACCACCACCACCGCCACCACCGCCACCGCCGGCAGGTCCCGCGGCGCAGGCGGCCGGCGCCCCGCAGAGGCTCATGGCGCTGCCCAGGCAGAGCGCGGCCGGGCCCGCCAGCCCCCGCAGCAGCGCGGCGGCGCCCAACGGGCAGCGCCGGCTCATGGGACCGCGGCTCCGCTCAACCGCCCGGCCCGGCCCCGCTCCGCGCCTGCGCACCGCCGCCCTCCGCACGACAGGGACCCGGCAGTGGGCGTCGCACGTGCACCCGCGTGCCCGCCCCGCCGTGACGTCACGGGCTCTTCAAAAGGCGGCGGCGGGAAGCGCGCGGGGGCYGTGAGGGGATTGAGGCGCTCGCGCTTCCCTCAGGGCTGAGCTCCCAAATCCCGAGGGGAACCGGGCCAGGAGGCGCCTTGGAATGGGGAATGGCCGCAGAAAATCTCCTCTGCGGTAGTAAAACCCCAGCGCGTCTGGCTGTAGCAGTTACAGCACCGGCGTGGTGAGGGGAGGTGGGTCTAGCTCTGCACGTGGAATAGTTAATTTCCAGACCGGGAGGAAGCGTCTTCGTTTGTCTCCTAAAGGTGCTGGTTGTATTAGCAAAAAAGAAAAGAGGTAGCTTGGAAATATTCGCTTTACTTTGATTACACTAGTGCTGCTAGATTGGACATGTGTGATGTTGAGRAGCTCTGTGCTTTTTTACATGATGAAACAAGGAAGAAAGAGCCTTTATCCCTAAGCATTCCCCATTCCTTTGTCTAGAATTTTGAGATTTCACATATTCATTCCTTTGTTTTATTTTCCTAGTCTACTTAAAAACGCTTGTATACAAACCAGATATCAAGCCTGACTCCCACTAGCTGAGCCAGTCAAGAAATTAGAGTTAATTGAACACTAATTGCCTAATCAAGTAATCAAACTATTGGCTGGTTTCTTCTGAATTTGTTGGAAAATTCAACAAATTAGAAGAAATATGGTGATATTAAGGTTATTTGTTAGTGTAGCAAGCAAGAAACAAGAGGAACGCTTTACAGAGGCTTATTTTTTTAAATATAAGCTCTCGTCTGCATGTTTTTGTGTGGACTGCTCATGGAGGTTCAGTTTGTGCTATGATGTAGTCATAGACAACTGAACTCTGAATTGTTCAGTTATGAATGGAGCTGCTGAAGGGACCRGGGAAAAATAMGCTTGTATTTTTCCTGAGTATGTCTTTGCGCTCATGCCAGAGCAAAATCAACAGTTCTTATGTTCTAAAGCTCATCTAAAGGCTTTTCCAAAGAGCAAAGATGCACCTTGTCATTGAGGGTCCCCATAGACGCACAGAAGAACATCGTGTTGTGATACATACTTGAGATTTTGTTGGTTTGTGTGTAAGCAATACAAATTTTTTCCTCAGTTGCAGAAATCAGAACAAGATTTATGTGTGGTCCTCTTGATTAAGAGAGTGAGACATTTTAAAGAGTTACTTTCACTTTGCATTTTATGAGAACAGCAGAGATTAAAATTTTTGATGATTTATTTGTATAGGCGTTTGATTAAAATAGTTTCATTTTAATCTTAACACTACTTTTTTTTTTTTTTTCATGAAAATTATCTTTGGTATGGCTAAAGCTTTTTTCTCAAAGACGAGGGAAAAAGATGCAACTTTTGGTCACCAGAAGATGGCGCTGTGCGGTGAGATTTGAAAAGTCCGTGTGAGAACAGCCGGTTATAACAGGGTTATAATTGGGAGACTGATATTACAGACACCTTTTCACAGTGTTTTCTTTCGCTTAGCAGATGATTATTATAGACAGTGTTTCTGATGCCTTTACCGTAGAGTTCGGGGTCAGTTCCAAAGTCTGTCTTTGGCACTGGAATTCTAGGAATTCCTGCCGGTGCTGCCAGGACTTCAAAACTGGGCAATCTAGAGCAATCAAGGGGCTGAGGCTGGAAAATGCCTCTGGAGATTAGCTGGATCAACCCATCTGTTCAAAATACATTCAGCTAGAGCAGGTTTCTCAAGAACCTGTGTAATTGGGCTTTGGAATATTCCAGTGCTTAATCATCCTCTTGTAAGAAAGATGCTTTTATTGGTGGTTAAACATTCCTATGTTTCAACTTGTGACTGCTGCTTTGTGCCCTCTSGTAAACACCTCTGAGAAGAGTCTGGAACATTGCATGTTGTATATTTATTGCTTACAATTCATATTTATTGCTTTCCTGTAGATATATCACCTAGGAAGTSTCAATGGTTAACCTRTTTGYRGAGCTGCCAGGATAGCAGACTCCTAATACCCATTTGGAGGAGCCATAGAATAATTTGGATATAAGCACTTAGAAAACTTTGATGAAATTTCAGGCTGCATTTGATGGGGAAAAAAAGGTAAAAATAGATGCCTGGATTATCTCCTGAAGTTAGGAGTAGCTTTGATTAAATGAAAAAAACAATTAATTTTGTTATTTAATATGTTACCTGTGTGTACTAAAAATCAAACTGTCAAGGTTCAAATCTGTCACATGCTTGGAAAAATACTTAGCTTCACTATCTGGAGGAGCAGTAGCAAAAGTAGGGAATAAAGGCATCAAGCAAATACAAATGTGGGAGCCTGTTTCACCCTTGTTTCTGCACAGACTGTGGTGCAGCACTGCCCTCAGGAAGGCAGAGCTGTGCTGGAGTTATTAGGACTCTATCAAAGGAAGATTCACTCAGGGAAAAGATTAGGGTTCAGGTTCCTAAAAACATTGTGTTACATCTGGATTTTTTGGGAATGCAACTCTTGTGCCAGAGGCCAGCTAGGAATATTCAGGTGTTCACATCGGAATTTTCTCAAGCACATCCCCTTTCTCCTTCCTGGTTTGAATTTTTGAGATATTTTTGTAGAATTTTCTAGATTTTTCTCTCTAAGCATGCCCTAAGTCCATGATCCAAGTGGAAACTTTCACAATGCTTCTGCTAATGAAGGGAAATTATTTAGGAAAAAATCTCTGTCCATGTAGACAGATTTTCTTAGTTTAATTTTGAGCAGTTTGGTCCATGCTGACACTAAAACTGAATTAGATGGGCTAATGAAACCTTATCGCTACTTCTTAGGTACTGTGCTGAAGTAATACTAAATAAGATCTACTAAATGCATACACATAAGAAAAAACAAGTGCTCTTGCTTTCTTATATGAAACAGATAACTACAAAAAAATGCCCACAGAAATAGAGCAAAATGGCTGTGCTCTGAAAATTTGGACCTTAATTGCTAAGGTTTGCTTGCAYATGCAGAGCTCTATTATGATTAATGATACCTGATGAAGAAGTAAGGTTCTACTGAAGAGAARTGGTTAGACAAAAGAAAGTTTTCATTTTAGTAATCATTGTTGAGAAAAATGAATAATTACTGTCAGTACCAGGAAAAAAAAAAATCTATGGTCTTCTCCTCTTGTGGTCTATATTCTTTCCAGTTGTTTCTCCAGGTGAGATATTATCTTGCTCAGAAGGGTTTACAGCATTACTAACATTGTGATGATAGTTATGGTAACCAAAAGGGACGCTGGTACTTCTGCCCAGAAATTCTTATTTAATCATAGTGTGTTTATGATGCAACTGTTACCAGGTAACTAAAGCTAATGCACAAAGTTGTAGASAGGCTTTCATCTTCATCCAAAATGCTACTTGAGCTTTATGGGAGAGCATGAAAAGTAGTCCATATCTTAGAATTCAGGGACACAAAATTACCGAAATTGAGAAATGGACTTTTTTTTGATTATAGGAAATAATGGTGTACATGACATGTTTTTCCCACTTAAAATAGAAAGCACCAATTTATTCCCACTCTCAAGAAGACCCAAAAAATCTTCTGTGGCATAATATAAATTTTAATGGAGAGTGATTGCTCTGAGTTTGCTTCCAGTCTTTGCCATGTGGCTACTGAAATATGTAAGCAGATTCAATAACTGAGTGTATCAATCCTTTCACATACCACCCAATGAAGGCATGAAATACTATATTTTTGAAGGGCCTTTGTCAGCCTTCTTGTTTGTCCTTTTCTCTGTGGTGTCTCATGCCTCCATCCTTTCACGTACTTATTCTTTATCTTTTTTTCTTGCTATGCTCTCTATTATGGTAAAAAGAAAGAACTTTTCTTGTTACGTGCTGCTTCTCTTCCTACATCTGCTGCTCTTTCCCCACAGCAGCCCTCACAGTTTTCATATACCAGATCAGTCATGAGCTGATCTAGGAGYTGCCAGTAAAACAGCCTGTCCTGAATGTGCAGTTCACTGCTCATTTTTTCCTCCTTSTGTAGRTTGGAGAARGAAGCAAAGTRTATARTAATTGTTCATGACTTTGCAGATGYCTACCCRTACATCTCATGGAGTTTGGCAAAAAGAATGTATGTCATGGTTGATTAGCAGTGGTGAGAGACATGCATATAGAAACTAATTCCTCTGGAGACAGCTAATGGTTTATTCACCTTTTCAATCTCTGAGTTCCCATACAGACCTTTGTGGCTGCCTGCAGGGTGGTTAATTAGTTTAACCTGTTGGAGGCAGCTATATCTGCAGTTTCTAAGTAGAAAGGGTACCACAGCAAAAATCATCTTTATTACATTCAAAGCACTTTCTCTGAAATTGGCATGTTTCATTGCCTTTTTAACATGTATGCTGWTCTTGTGCTTTCATTCAGGGCATATATAAACAAGACAATAGAATTCAGGATGTATGCATTTTCTTAGACCAAGAAAACWATTTGTAGTTTGTCTTAATCATAACAGTTAAACTAAATCCTTTTAATAGGTGCTTCACCAAAAGTCTAGGTGAAGAACAACTGTCTGCTGATGTGATACCTTTAGCAAAGTATTTAATGTACATGAATTTCTATCTCTTCATACATAGCAATTGTAATATTTCAGAATATGCTTCCTGCCCAACTAATGTGCAGTGTGCATATATACATATTTGTGTATCTGTGTATTATATTTTGTGTTTTAGTTTTCTTTTAAATATTTTTGAACTGCATATGCATTGAAATTGCTAGTTTGCATTTTGGCAGAGGATTGSAATAGCTGTGAAAACACCTGCTAAATAAATGTTGAGGCAGGAAACTCCTTAGCAGGTGATAAGCACCTGTGTCTTTTACTATTGAGAGRAAGTGCCAGGCCTGGCTCATCAATCTTTCAGGTGTGGTAACACTTCAGGGGCTGAGGTGCCTGACTGTGTGGT